CCCCACCTATATATATATATATATATATATATGTATCGGATCTACTTGATAAAATAAAATAAAATAAAAAATTTAGAAAATATTGTGGACCCTGTTTGAGAATTTTGGCAGGGGATTCTCTCCGATGTGATTCTACATGCATTAAAATGTTTCAGATTCAATCATCAAAATAACGTGGCTTATTGATAATGCACTGGAACTACCAAAAGAGGATTTTATATGCTCACAAATCTAAAAGAAAAAGCACATTACTATAGCATCCAAAGTTGCATTTTAAGTTAGATCAAGTTTACTTAATGATGACTTGTTGAGCTGTTGTGTTTGACTATGTTTTGATGGCTGGTACTCGCATGCTTCAATTCACATAGGATTGCATCGAATAGAAAAGAATCAACAATTTATTGTTTCTTCCTAACCTAAATCAAGCCTAAAGTGGGGGCAAGTAGCAGGGGCAGAAGCAGAAAATTTTAAGCAGGAGTGCAAATAATACAACTTTAGAAGAGAAGACAGATTATTATTAAAAGAATTATGTATTAAATAATAATTATTTGGTTTTGGTAATGCCCCCATCACCTCCCACCCGGGGCCAATTAACTTTCCACAAATATCATTAATATTACATTTATCAACAAGGACCTATAGCAATTTGATAGTTCAAAAGTGATTTAATCTGAAAACACACAACCTACTACAGGTCTTGACTCTTGAAATAGAATTATTTTCATGTTCAATTTTCACTAACTTCTTTCCTTCTGCTGCAATTATATATATAATGTTAAATTTGTAATTTAAAATCTTTTTTGAATATTAACATAATCAAAGTATATACTTCACAAAGATCTCATTCTATGAAACAGTAGATTATTTTTTTTTTTTTTAATTTTAAAGAATAAAGACTAACTACAACTAAAACGTCAAATTAAATTCCACCTAATGTCCTTCTAGATGGGTCCAGTTCTCAATGAAAACCATTTGTTACAATCACAAAAATACACATTTCCAACCTTATTCACATTTTATATAGAAATGTAAAAAGCTAACATAGACAAGAGAGTAAGTTATGGTTTTCCAGATACACGAAAATACCTGGAAATCATTTGGGTATTATTCCAACTCAGATGCCTCTTCTGAATCAGACAGTGGTAACAGGGTACATATCCCAAGCATATGGCCGTTGAGGCACACATAATACTCAATACAATCATCATAAGAACCCAATATGAAACTAGCACTTTGAGGGATCATTTTGGCTTGCAGCATGCTCCACAACTTTGCCTTACAATATGGGCAGACTTCTGTTGGATGAAGCTTGGCACCTTTATTAATAAGCATCTTCCTGACCTTTGAAGTTGCAAATGACTTAAAAATTCCACGGAAGAATCCTACATCTCCTTCTTCACCTTGGTCAAGATGCTCACAAGGATCAGACACATACAAAACATCAGTTCTGCATTGTGGCAAAAGAAAACTCTTTCCTGATGTTCTAGAAAATCGAGTCTGATAAACAAAGTGACCAGGGATCTGAATGCTATTGAATAAGCCACCTTTGGTGCATCCCGAACAGTATATAAGCAGCTTCCCCAGGGCTCTCCAGTTCCCATCAACGATGTGGCTCCCGTTAGATTGCAGATCACGCAACATCTTCGGTGCTCTTGTTTGACAAAACTCTTTCCATAGAACTCGCTTGGCAAGATCATCAAACCATTTGCACACACATGATAAAGTAGCAATTAGCTTGGGATTCCAATTCAAATTATGAAATACTAAGAATATCACATCTTCACTTAAATGACCTTTGGTGCATTGACAGCTAGCTGAGTGTATGCACCGGTACTGTTTTGTGAGAATCATTTTCTTCACCTAGAAAAATTGAAAGAAAAATCATCAGTTTATGACAACTCTATTGGAAAATTTTAGGGCATTCATAAAGTTGACAAAGCCAAAATATCAAATTACTTAATTAAATACTTCATTGCAATGAGGAGAAATCAAGCCAACAAATGAAGCCAATACTGAACAATCAAATAAAAATTTTATAACTATACATTTGAAGCAAATAACTTACAAGAAAGAATTAACCTAAACACGTTGCTTTCTGTAGTACTCCAAAGTTAGCTCAATAAAAGAATAATAGAAATCCTCTTCTCCTTCTAATGCATTGGCACGGGGTGAATTTCCAGTGTACTGTGTTACTTTGATTACTTCTAGTCTTACAATTCATAAAATGCCTTCTTCAACTCCAAACAGAAAATGAAGGCTGCAAAGTAGGGTTTTTTTTTTTCCCCCCATTTCCAGTTGATGTGTTTTTATTATAATTACAAAATGACATGTTTCTATTTTACTCACTACAGGAACAAGATGACTAAAGGGATCACCAAGGTAAAGAGACACTCAGTGAATCAAGAGGCTTGGACCAAGGGGTGAATCTTATTGGTGAAGAGACAAGCATGTAACATAAGGTTAAGGTTAAAAGGGAGAGTTTATAAAACACAGTCCTTGAGTAAAAATGCTGAAAATTGAACAAAGATCGATAAATGGATGAATGGATGGAGGTCAGGATCCGTTTCCTAATAACAACACAATCGCCGATAACATAACAAACTAACTCGCTACATTCATCAATCCATGTCAACCAAAAATTTCAAATTCCGGAGCACGCACATTAATAAAGCACAGTATGTTATCTACAGTTCCTCGTCATACACAAACCGAAACCCATCCCCAAAGTAGAATTCACACACAAACGAGAAATTTCCCCAAAAAATAAAATCAACAAAAACCCAAGTTCGAATTTGAGAATGGACTAGCTGTAATTAAAAAAAATTATATATATGGAGAAAGAGAGAGAGAGAGAGAGAGAGAAATATTTCCGCCACCTGATCTTATTTAAGCCGCTTTCGACATAGCCTCCAAACCCTAGAAAAACCCACCTCTGCAAGCAAATTGGAAAGACAGAGAGAGATAAGGAAAAACAGCGAAAATAAGAAAAGATTAAAAAATGGTTAAGTAATTTGACCTCTGAGCAGGGGCAATTTGGTAAAGTGATGCATAGAATGGAAGACACTGAAAGTAGCAGTGGCAGCAACAAAGAGAGAGATGGGTGCAAATTGCGATTGCAACGCATATCAAATGATTTATGACAGTCTTGTTGTACATTTCACAACAATCATTGAATCATACCATAGGTGCAATACAAATATCAAGGCCCACTCACATAAAGACACGTGTCCACCTTCAATTAGCTGTCACCATAGAGGAGTGTTGGGTTGGGGGGCCACATTCGGTGACGTGGCATCGGGACAATGGAAGGTCATTTTCGTAATATGCCGTGTGCGAGAAGCACGCTCGTCGCCCATTGTTTTGTGTCGGAGAGCACAAATGATTTTATTGGCCCATCATGCCACGTGTCAGCTTCTGTTTTTTCACTTTTATTTTTTCTTTAAAAACTTTTCTTTCCTCAGCAATTTTGTTTTACGTTTTGTCTTCTCCCCAACTATTTTTTTAATTATAATTTTATTCTTCGGAAATACTTTTGTAAAGGTGCCTCAATAAATATGAAGGTTGACGATAAGATTTTTTTTAAAAAAATATTCTTCTATTAAAATTGTGTTTTGTAGCCATTTTAAGTTTAAAGTTTTAAAATTTTATGATCATTTTTCGATAAGTAATAATTTTGTAATGGTGGTGACTCATAAATACGAAAGTCAGCTGTTAGATTTAAAAAAGAAAATCATATTGCAATTATATTTTGTGGTATTTTACATTTGGATCGGTTCTTTTGTCTTTAGATAATAAAATGGTTTTTTTTTATTCAACGATTTAAATTAATTTATATTTAAAATTAAAATTTCTTGTTCTCATTACTACTTCCCATTCAATATTTTATTTGAAGAACACAGGGCAAACAAAAATTCATCGATGACCATGTGTACTGTGATTGTTTCTGTGGCAAATGTATAATCAAACAACAATTTTATAGAAACAAATACTATGATGACCATCTGTAGACAGTTTTGAATTGAAAAAATTTTGTTTCTGCACCATGAAAATAAAATCAATTTCTCATAACCAAATAAATTTTAATTATAAAGTGTGTAGAGAAACCTATTTGATTTTTATTTTTTACTTTTCTCTCTTAAAAAGTGTTTGCTGAAAAAAATTATGAATACAAGACTTGAAGTGAGAATGTTCACTTTAGAATAGGAATCAATAACAAAAGGTACAAGTTTCAAGAACAACATGATGAGTATTTTCGCACAAAGAGTATAATGTGCAATTTAACTAGAGTGGTGGTGAACACAAGATCCCCCTTTCAACTCTACACACCCAGGTCTTCTACAGACAAAAGACAAATCTATCTTTTTATTTGTTTTTTGATCAACAGAACCATCAGCTTTTGGCTCACATTTACTGCCACAGGCTTGGATTTATTTTCCTATCATTTCTTTACAAAGTAAGAGAAATCCAGAAAAAATCTTACCAGATCAATTGACAATTGCACAAGTCCTTTTTTCTTCCAGAGAGATTACAGTTTCAAAGGCACCAACCAATGCTTTGACCTTGCTCTTCTGAGTTTCAACCAGTTTATTTGCTGTTTCCTCAATCACATAATTATACAATCCTTGTCTATCTTTCTGCACTTGCACATCTTGATGTCGCAAAACAACCTTCTCTGGACCAGTAGCATCAGTGGCATTGTCCTCCAACACTTGTCCACTCTGGAATTTAAGGCTCTTCAGATCACCTCTTTCAATTTGAGTTTCAGCCAATTCTCCCTTTAGCTTTTGGCGGTCCTTGTCTTCAGAACAAACAACCTCACCATTTTGAGGCTTTCCATTCTCCTCAGCTTCCAAAGTGTCCACATTAGCCTTGTATTCAATTTCTTGGTTTCCTGAAGAAGAATCCTCCTCAAATTCTTTAGTTGCATGCTCAGATTCCACTTGATCTTGTTGGGATGAGGATTGAGAAATTGAGGAGGATGAAAACTTGGGTGGTGACAACGAATTAGAAAGGGATAATTCAATATTCTGGCTTTCATTCTGATCATAGTGTGAAGTTTGCTCTGCACTTTCCATCTTGATGACATACAAAGTCTTTTCCTGGGTCTCACTGTTGTGTTCCTCAAGTTCAAATTCTGTAACCTTGAGCTGATTCATAAGACGAGGCACAATTTTCAGGCCTTTGTGCTTTCTTGCACTAACACTTGAAATAATTCCGCGAGAAGGTTTGGATGAGGCTTCTCTTTTTTTCATCTTGATCTTACTATCCATTTGGCCACCAATACCCTCAGAAGATTTCAGAGAAGATATGGTCTCCATTGTTCTCAAATCTGGACTCAAAGAAGTCACATGCTTATCAGACAACTCCATTCCTTTATCTTCAAAAGAAGACACCTTTGATGAAGCTCTCTTGATCTTGGACACAGATTCTGATGAAGTTTTGACCATTTGGGAAGTTGATTTTGTGTGAGTTTTCACCCTCTCAGAAGTTGCTTTTGGTGAAGTTTCCACCTTTTTGGAAGATGGTTTTGGTGAAGCATCCACCTTAAAACTTGAAGAAATTTCCCCCCTCCTTGTTTCTGGGATTGAAGAAACATGTGATTTTGGATGGAATGATGGTCTGACCCTGACCAATGGTGCTCTTTTACTGTCTACCAGCTTATTTGTGTCAAAAGTATCAGAAATCTGGAGCTCAGAATCAATTGATTTACTGTGTCTCACTGTTGACCTTTTTGTTTGCTTGGAATCAAATGACGCTCTTTGCTTAGGAACTGATGTCATCGTCCCACCAAAAATGTCTTCAGAACTTCGGCAAAGTGATTTTCTTCCAGCTCTCTTAATGACGGAGAGATCCTCTCTTGCTTCTTGCCTCCTCCCATATTTACAAATATCATGGCAAGAGCCAATAGATGCTCTGAGATAATGAGGAACAATGACTTCTTTTTCTTTGTTTCCAGAACTTGCTATTCCAGCAGAGTGCCTTCTTAATTCAACCCCACTTGTCATAGTTATTTCTGGGATCAGTGGTGTAAAAACACTTTCCTTGGCCATATAGGATGGGATCTGGGCTATGCAGAAGAAGATCTGGGGGGAAATTCCTGAAACATGAAAGCAACACTAATTTTAAATATAAGTAAAAATGACTGATTAAAACAGCACAGCAAATCAATAGTCGATGGCATGCTCAAAATTTCAGTCAAATTACATAATTATTATCTAAAATTTTAAGGTTAGAAGCAATGAAAATTTATATGATTTTATAATCTATGATCATTTGAAACTCAAATAAGGTATCTATCTCAAACCGAAAATGAACAAAAACCTTTACTGCACAGAGGCACCAACTATAAGAAACTACTGGACATCAATCATTCATACAGCATCGGAATTACTTGTTTTACATGTGATTCTTTTCCATTCTACCTGAAAATGGTAAGAATCTTCTGAATTAAAACAATCTGACATTCTAAAAAGGGTAAGAATCTTCTCCGTTTTCTGTTTATTTCCTACGGTTTGAGTGTACAAAGGACATTAAGTGTCCATGATGAAACATATTAATGTCCTTTATACACCCAAAAACTATAGCAATGGAGAGGATCTAAACCCTGTAAAAATAAGATGCATGAAACCAAAAATGCAACAGGAACCAGACATGAAGGCATAAACATAAAAAGGAAAAGAAGTAATCAAAAACTGGAGAAAAAACCAGAGGGCCTGCTTAGTTCGAGGAGCAGTTATGTTTTCATTTCTTCTTTTCACAAATACTTGTATTTTGTTTCTTGTTTTCAATGATTTTTAAAGGAAAACGGCGAAAACAGGCCATGCCCTGAGATGTTAAGTTTTCACAAATATACTTCAACAAGCAACATTCTTACGTCTAACAAAAACTTTTTTCAAGTATAGGTATCTCAACCATGCATCTCTAAGCTTTACCCAATCACCGACCCTAATGAAAAAATGTACGCATCAAGCACATGATCAAATACCAAGCCAATCATCTAAGAAAATAAAAAACCTAAAAAGTTATACTACAAGCAAGTACATTTGGTCATTCTCAACTTAAATTACGTATAAGAGGCAACAATCAGTGCAAAATTATCATCCAAAACCCAAAAGTGTGATCATGCATGCATCACTGAGCACCCATTTCATGTAAACATGACACAAACAACTGAAGAAAACCATACTCATATCTAAACAAAGCATCACCTATGCCAATTCTTCAAACTATAGAACCCACTGAAACCGTAACGGCCAAGGAAACTTTTCAGCGAAAACACACCAAAATGACACAATCCAAGACAGAGCAACAGAGAAAGAGAATCAGAGCATGGTCCGAAAACCCATCTCTATATCCAACCAAAATCACATTTTTCAACAAACCCACTTGCGTTTGGGAGAAAAGGAGCAAACCCACTTAATAAAATTTTCCAAGTAACGTACCTTCGTTTTATACTTTGGTAGCAGAGCTTCAGAAACCAAAGGGTGGTTCAACAGAAAGCGAGGAAAGAGGAACAGAACGTAGCGAAGTTAACACTGAGGCACCCCTTTTGAAGGGTTATTTCTTCTCAGAAGAGAACGAGCGTGCAATAAAGCAACAGTTTCTGGTTTTTGTTTCTTCTGGTTCGTTGAGCTCGTTACTTCACAAGCGTTTCTTAACTTATTATAGAATAGTAATACTACAATCTAAGGAAAATAGAGATAAGTGTTCTTTTTTTACTGCAAAAATAGAGAAAAATATAATAACTTGTTATTTTAGAATTTTTGGGGCACTTTTCAAATCTCAATATTTTAGAATCAGGATCTTAATATTTAATGATTTATGCATCGTTTTAACTCGTCTTACCGTTTTAACTCGCTAAGGAATTTGATCCAAAAACACAAAAACAAACTGTTAAGGAATGTTTTATTCAAATTACCATGCATTTAAAAGAAAAGTTATTGATTTGGGCAAATGTGAAGATATTCTTCTAAATTTAATGATATGAAAATTTAAATTTAGAACTTGAATTTTCTTTCCTTGTGTGCATTTCAAATTTTGAATTGTTGACACGAAAATTGAATTTCCTGCTTAGACGTGAAATTTAAAAAAGAAAAAGGAAAAATTTTAGGAATGGGTATTAAATTTAAATTTATCTATTCGCACATGTACCAAATTTTTCAAAAAATAAGATTAAAAGATGAGAAAAAAAATTACACTTTTTATCCTTTATTTTTAAATCTGTAATATTAATTTCTATAATATTAAATTTGTAATTTTGATTCTTATATTTTTAAATACCTTTTAACTATAAGTCGACTGACATGAGTTATTACATTTAAGGTATTGTTCGTTTTAATATTTATCTATTCATCACAGTTTTATCTTTAAAAAAGTGTCTCACTGGCCTAAGGAAAGGGGAGTGTTTATAAATTACTTATAGTTTCAATTCTTAAGTGATACAAGGCTTTTAAACTATACCGAAACAAGTTCCTAGTCGAGACTAAGGGGCAAGAGTGTTCTAACCCCTCCTTTTATTATTATGCAATTTTAGAATTTTAGTCTCTTAATTTTATTAAATTCACAATTTTTATCTTGTTGAATGTTCATTTCTATTGTTAAAATTGTAATATTAGTTATCCTAACGTTATATAGATGATACAATAATTAATATTTGATAATATTTAAGTTAAATTACACTTTTAGTTATCATTTTTATCTCATTTTCATATCATTTTATCTCTTTTATGAGATAAGAATAAAAATTAAAAGTAAAATTTAGTACAAAATTATTAAATATCAATTGTTATATCCTCTATTTAATGTCATATTACAATTTTAATAAATAATAGATGAAGATTTAATAGGATGATCAAAATTATAGATTTTATAAAATTGAGAGATTAAAATGACGTATTTAATAATAAAATGACCAAAATTACGGATTAATATTATAAAGGGACTAAAAGGACAATTTAACCAAAAAGATATTAAAAACAATTAGAGTATCATTTTAGGAATGAACATTAAATTAAAATTTTTCCAAAAATAAGATAAAAAAGATGATAAAAACAATTTGCTTCTTATATAGTAGGATTCACACTAAGAACAACTAGAAAAGATTCATATGTTAAAGACTTAAGAAACTTATTAGTGTTGAGAACTTGAAGAAGATTCATGTGAAAATCCAAAAGCTTAGGCCGATTCTCAAGACCTAAGTCCAATAAGAGTACAACATAAATAAGTATGTTTAGTAAGATGAAAGGATATTTTTAAATTACATTTACTATGACATTTACTACATCACCTTAATCGAAAGAGTATTGACTTAGGCATTGGAGTGATTTTTGTATGCACAATCCTTTCTCTCATAGGTAGGAGGAACTAAAGACACCCAAGAGTCCCAGACGAAGACAAGAAGTATAATACATGAGGTAAAAATTATCATTATGCCTTTTCACAGGTACACTTTTAAATAAGTTATCTAACATAGAATTTACATGTATTTTAAAATATTATTTTATATGATAAATAAAGTAATATTATTCTCTTCAATAATTTGACATCATGATGTCAATAAATCTTGATCCCCACATACACATATGTGAGGAATGATCAAATTATACTAGTGTCAACTATTACATCGTAGAAATTTTTTATTCAACTATTGAATTATAACTTTATATTACCTTGAATATGTATGTCAAATTTTGTTAATATTGAACAACAATAAAAAGGCGATCAAATTGATTATATTTTAATATATTTTGAAATGTATATATTACGTCATTTTTAATATATATAAATGTTTTATTAAATAATTTTATATTAATATAAAATTTTGTATATATGATCTAAAAATAATTCAATCTAATAGTAAATTTTGAAAATAATCAATCACTTTGAAAGTTATTAAGTAGTATGAAGAGCTGAATTTCACACTCCTAATATGAATTTAATAGTATCCCTTAATTATAAACCATTATGATCAATCTAGGAGTAGAGTTAGAGTAATATATACAAGATTCAAAGTTTGAATTGTTGTCATTATAATTTCTAAGGATAAAAAAAAATGTCTCTTGTATTTTTCTATCAAAAAAATAGTTTATTATCTAGAGAGGGAATGTATCCAATAATAACATGTTTAAAGATGAGATATGAAAGACATAAATAACAGTTTTTAAATTATTGATAAAAAAAATAGTAAATAATCGAGATTAAAACTCAATTATAGATACTTTTTTAAGATTATTATTATTGTTATCATTATGATTACTATCATCATCCTTTACAAAACTATTAGTATTGTTATCATTATTGTGACTATTATCATTACTACCACTAATCTTTATAATTACCATAATTGTTATTACATATTAGGAATGAGACTTAACTCAATTTTATAAATTTAGTTTGTAAATTGAGGGTTACCCTTACTTATATGCTCTATTTATCATATTTTTAATCGATGTGAGATTTAAAATTTTTTAATATACTCTTCACATTCAACATTATTAGAATTGGTAAATGATTCTTTTAATAAAATTATAATAGCTTTGATACTACTTTAAAATAAGACTTTTGAGTCTAACTCGATTTATAAAAAAAAATATCTAATTGTAGCATATACTTATATTAATAGTATAACATAATAGTAAAAAAAAGAGTTAATAAAAGATTGTTGAGAAGTCCCTTATTAACGTTAGTTACGTTGCAAGGAAAGTATAGTTTATTTTACACATTCACCAAAATCAATTAACTTTGGCACCACAGGTGTAATAAACTAAAAATATATAGTAACATTTGGTCACAAGACTAACGTTTTATTTGCAAGATAAACTATTTCCAAAACTAAAACGATTATATGAAGTCTAAATTTAAAAGATAGCAAGAGGAAAAAAAAATAATGGGGAGAGACAACAGAAAAGGAATTTTCAAGGAAAGAAGGGAAGAGTTGACGTGGTGCTTTGTTATTTTTTATCATGTTAGCTGAGTAGTGCTTCTTCCCTCGTCAGAAGCATCCAAACTAGTCCTACACAATTCTTAATTGAAAAATGCTTGATGTTCCGAATGAAGGATAAAAAAAAATGTCTCTTGTATTTTTCTATCAAAAAAATAGTTTATTATCTAGAGAGGGAATGTATCCAATAATAACATGTTTAAAGATGAGATATGAAAGACATAAATAACAGTTTTTAAATTATTGATAAAAAAAATAGTAAATAATCGAGATTAAAACTCAATTATAGATACTTTTTTAAGATTATTATTATTGTTATCATTATGATTACTATCATCATCCTTTACAAAACTATTAGTATTGTTATCATTATTGTGACTATTATCATTACTACCACTAATCTTTATAATTACCATAATTGTTATTACATATTAGGAATGAGACTTAACTCAATTTTATAAATTTAGTTTGTAAATTGAGGGTTACCCTTACTTATATGCTCTATTTATCATATTTTTAATCGATGTGAGATTTAAAATTTTTTAATATACTCTTCACATTCAACATTATTAGAATTGGTAAATGATTCTTTTAATAAAATTATAATAGCTTTGATACTACTTTAAAATAAGACTTTTGAGTCTAACTCGATTTATAAAAAAAAATATCTAATTGTAGCATATACTTATATTAATAGTATAACATAATAGTAAAAAAAAGAGTTAATAAAAGATTGTTGAGAAGTCCCTTATTAACGTTAGTTACGTTGCAAGGAAAGTATAGTTTATTTTACACATTCACCAAAATCAATTAACTTTGGCACCACAGGTGTAATAAACTAAAAATATATAGTAACATTTGGTCACAAGACTAACGTTTTATTTGCAAGATAAACTATTTCCAAAACTAAAACGATTATATGAAGTCTAAATTTAAAAGATAGCAAGAGGAAAAAAAAATAATGGGGAGAGACAACAGAAAAGGAATTTTCAAGGAAAGAAGGGAAGAGTTGACGTGGTGCTTTGTTATTTTTTATCATGTTAGCTGAGTAGTGCTTCTTCCCTCGTCAGAAGCATCCAAACTAGTCCTACACAATTCTTAATTGAAAAATGCTTGATGTTCCGAATGAATGGACCGAAATTTTGTCCGAATCATTAAAAAATTAATTTAAATAATAAAATATTAAATTAAATAATTATTTTATAATAAATTTATTAAAAGATATTAATTTTTTAATTATTTGGAGATTGAATCGGATAATGATTTGGAGGAGATAATAATGCTCTTCTTAATTGTATCGGGTCTTTCTATAATTTGTTAATAGTCAAGTCCGAGGAATGAGTTAATAGTGAGGTCAATCTCTTTTGTAATTTTTTTTTTAACTTTTATTTGATCTTATCAATCATTTAACATAGGTTTAATTTTGTACTTTTCTTTTGGGGTGCATTTTGTAATTATGTATTTTGTAAATGAAAAATGCAATTAGTAGACTTGTATGATCTCAAGAGAATAATGCCTATTTGATGTTTATATAATTATTATTTTATCCATTTCTTTTATATTTTTTTTATGTATAATCATACTTTCCTTTTGTCTAATGTAGACTTGATTGAGAAAAGATGTTAACTATGATTATGATTATTTAAACTATGGTTAAGTAGGCTAACTAGAGTTCCATTAGTTTGTCCTACAAGTTAACTTGACTATGGTCAATTTGACCATAATTTGATTAGTTTGCATCACAAACTAACTCATTTTATATAAATCTCTTTTTCATCTCTTGTAATCACTTTTGATGAATATTGAAATGAGAACCGAGTTTTCTCTCTAAAAAGTCTTAGAATGTGACATCATTTGTACTTTCATCAAATATTTTTTCTTATGGTGATGTAATACCTAGGCTTAGAATGTGACTTTCGATAAAAGTTACTTTTCCTTCTTGATGAAGTAAAACCTCCATCTCCTTCTCCCGTTTCACTTTTGATTTTCTTCACCTTCACCTCTTATTTGAAGGAATGATCCTTAAAGAGAAAATTGAATCTATAAAAGATCTTCCATCGATTACTACAAACTTGTTTAGATAATAGAAAATATTTTTAAATTTTTTTATATAAAAAATAAACTTAGTTTGTCATGTTATTAAATTAGGAAAAAAGTAATAAGAAAAACAAAGGTCGATAAAAAATAGACTAAATTGAAGTTATTACTCAAAACACAATGTGTGTATGTGTGTAGACATACATAGTCTTACATTAAAAACACTTTTCACTATTTAATTGTAATTGATAACATAAAATTTGTATACATTTATTCCTTGATATTGCAAATAACTCAAGTCTATCAACCATGTAAAATATACATATTACATTTATTGGAAAATAGAGTTTACATTAATTTATATATTAATGTTTTAGACAATTTATCTCTTATATAGCTACTTTAAAATTGCTCTTTCTTTCTCACTATTATCTATTGAGTTAATTATTAATACATTGTCAGTGTAAAGTTTTTTTACACTGGTAACCAATTAAATCTTTTGAATTATTTTATTTTATTTTTATTTCATTAAATAAGCAATTGACATGACACTATTAAAAGATTTGATTGGTTGCCAGTGTAAAAAAACTTTACACTGACAGTGTATAGGTGATTAACTCTTATTTATTTATACTCTCTTTCTTTTTTACTTTTCCATAAATTTCATTCTTTAAATTTCTCACCCTTTAATTAACTACTCACTTTATTAACTTTTTTTTAAAGAATAAATTACACTCTCCTCCCTTGAGTGATACAAATATTGCATTACCATTCCCTCTTATGTTAAAAATTATAGTACCCCTCTTAAAATATTCTAATGTATATCACTTTACCTATTCTTTAAATTTTTTGTTAACTTCCATTACATAAAAAATTGTTCCAAAAATACCTTTTACACTAACATTCTCTTAAAGATGTAAACATTACACCACTTTTCCTTCTTATAAACACTTTCCCACTATTTGTTTTTTAAACATGTTATACTTTAACAATATATCTCTTGATATATATATATATATAATTATTTTTAAAATTATTATAAATTTTTACTAAAATTAACTATATATATCTTAAAAAATATATTTTTGTTATTATTTTTACAAAATATTTTCATAGTTACATATAAAAAAAAAATATATATATACATATATAAATATAATAAAATCAAATACATGTGTTAAGATATTATTTAATCAATATAGTTAATGTAGTGTTTTTATAAAAATTTAAATAAAATAACATTTTCATTATATAGTATTAATTATATATATATATACAAAATTAATATATTATTTAATTGATGTTACTAATAAAATATTTAAATAATATATTAATAAATTAGTGTTTTATGATAAATTATTAATTATATTTAATTAATTTTAAATAAATAAATTTGTGCATGTGTTAATTTATATAATATATATTGATGTATATATAAAAATATAATATATAATTTGATTTATAATTTTTATTTTATTTATTATTTTAGTAAAATAATTTTAATTTCATTATTTTTAATTCAGTGAATGAATGGTAATGAACTTAAAAATGTTTTGAAATATATTTTTATTGAAGTTATATTTTTTTATGAATAATTAAATTAAACGTATTTTTTAAAATTTTATAATAATAATTCTTAAGTGATATTAAGTTAATATAATAAGAGAGTAATAGTATAATACTTGAAACTCTAAGGGATAAAAATGTAATTTATTTTATATTTTAATATATGCAACATGAATAGTGTAATACTTACATCTTTCAAGGAAGGAATATGTAATTTATATCAATGACGTTAAATTAAATAAATTAAATTATATATTTTAACATAAGAGATGAAAAAGGTGTAATACTCTTATCTCAAGGAAGAGTAATGTAATTTATTCTTTTTAAATAGTTACTAAGTATCTTTTTCTCCTATTAATATAGATTTAGCTAAGTTTTTTATTATATGGACTTAGACCTTTTGTTTTGTAAATTGATTGTATCATTTGGTAAGAGCCAGCACATTTTTTAATCTATATTATATACATTCTCCTTGATTTTATTGTGATTGAATAATAAGGTCTTAAATACTCGAGTTTACAATTATTTTAAATACTTGTAAAAAAAACTTAATTACTCATAGTTATTCTATGTGACTCAAATAGGACTACTCTTAAAAAGATACATTTGTTCTCTTAAAAAATTGAGACCTGGTTTGGCCTTCTAAGTTGGAATCATTAACCTGGATAAACTTAGAAAATGGTCCTCACAATCGGACTATTAGTTATAGATTAGAGCTACAATTTTGTATTTTTGGATCGAGAGGTAGCACATGCAAAGACTCCAGGTAATCCATTATAAATCGTTGACCCAGACTACAAATTTTTTCTTGAGTTCCTATTCATTTTCTTCCCTAGAGTCTTCATTCAAACGCAAAAGTTTAGATTTGATCAACCAAAACTATGACCTATATATGGAAATTGATATTTGAATACTGCCTCTTGAAAAAGATAATTTTTTAGATCTAATATCTTTCTTATCAGGCCGTGTGACATTTTCTATGCCAAAATCCAAGGATAATATCTACAAGCTTGTACCACAAATCCCCAGTTAGGAGTTTCAAAATAAAAGCAAGGAAAAATTAATAATTAAATTTAACATAAAGAGACATATTTAACTGCTTCCTATTGAGTTCTTGAGGAAATTAATACTTATACGTGACCATACATGAAAGATACATTTCTGACTAGAGTGCATGACCTTTTCCAGAAGCCAATCACGGGAAGATCATTAAAATCAATAAAGCATACAATGCTTGTGCATATAGCCAGACAAACAACTCTACCAATAATAATTACAGAATTACAATTAGCAAAATTAAAACTGTAACCAGTATTAATAGGAGCATCCAAATGTGCCCATGAAAACAATAACTTTACTAATATTGATCCACTTGACAACTACACTAGGGTATTCTTCTGATGTTCAGCAACGGATAAAATAAAACAACCATTTGCCACCAGAAAAAGGCAAAAATCATTAATCATTACCTTATTCACTCCACGGCCTTGGCTGCTATCCAAATACTTGATGCAAAAATCTGATATCCTTCCTCCAACCAGCCAAAAGGTGTACCGTGATGATAAGATAAATGATACAGCTTGCAAATGGAGATGTCGGCAAATTGCAAAGTATAAGACACTAGATGAAGGGGCCACAAGGATAATGCCCAGACAAGCCAATCCATAATGCTTGCAAAACAGAAGACATACAACCTCAACCTCAAGTGATAATTTCCCTGATAAGCCAATCCAAACTAGGATATGCAAAGTACAAGATGAGAAATGATGGGAGAGCAAACACAATGGTAACAAGTATATACAGAGCCAAAATGGCTGCACTGGCTGGTATCGCATATAAGACAATCAAAAGAAATATAATGATCAATGGGAACTTCGCTGTCAAGTGAACAAATAAAACCAGTGACTTCCGCAGAGAGGTATGCAGTCTTTCTATACTAACGTAATCACTGGTATTGTCATGATGTTGATTGGAACTTGGAGAGTCTGGATGACAAACTTGTCCTCTCTGAAGGCTGACAGTGCCATGGCTTACTTGGCTTCCTGAAGTTAAACTGTCTTTAATTGGCCAGATTAGTTGTTGATCACCACAAAAAGTAGAATGTGACTTCACTCTATCACCGTTCATGCTCTCAACCATCCAAAGAAGAAAGTAGTTCTTACGAGGGAACTTCAGATTTCCCCGGTAAATTAAACGGAGAGACAAAAGGTTGCACCATGGGCAAGAGATAAAAAGTGGAAGCTGAATTGGCAGTGTTGGAAATTTCACCACGGCCCATTGCAATCCAAGGATGCAATTTTTACAAAGGGTGTGGCCACACCATAAGACATAAGGCACATTTTCAACAATGTTAAAGGATTCCCAGCATATTGGACATTCCAGCCTTTCTTCTCTGCTCACCATAGAAGTCTCATCATCAGAATATTCTGAAGTAGACTGAGTTGGTTTTGAAGCATCTTTTTTCATTCCCACACTTCCAGCAATAAGACTAGACGCAAGGTTCCACATTCTGAATCAAGTTACAATACTACAGAAAAGACCAGGAAACAAGCATCATTTGGACCTCAAAGTGGTCATTAATGATGGAATCAAAGTATCATATCAATTGTGACAGAGGTACCAAGTTTAAACCTAAATCAAAACAAGTGTTAGAACACACCCTATAACACCTTCACATGATACTGAGAAATGTTGTATTAACAGATATGAAATATTTCCTTATAGTAAAATGATATAGTCATGTTAATCTTGTGCATGCACTTAATGTAGTTTCTAAAGCATCATCAAATATGATGCACATATATGATACACATCGGATACAATATGTATCCGATATGGCAACAAGGCTATTCCTAGAATATATAAGATATGAATCCAAGCAATATATATATATATATATATATATATATATTTGAAGAGGGATATGTTAACTTCATGAATAAGTCTACTTAGACTTACTTCATTCAATAACTCATACTTTACATTAAATCTCAACAATCTAACTATTGAATTTAAAGTTGTTAATGCATAGATCAAATCTATAAATTTTTAAAAAATTCAAAAATCATTTAATATTTATTTTCATTAATTCAAATCAATATATAAAATGTTTTCATGATTATCTGTCAATTTGAATTAATGAAACGAAGTATCAAATAGTTTTCAAATTTTTTAAAAGTTCACAAATTTGATCTATACATTAAGAACTTTAAATTCAACTTTTGGATTGTTGAGATTTGATGTAAAGCATGAGTTATTTGAATGGAATAAACAAACCCTCCTCTCTCTCTCTCTCTATATATATATATATTTAATTGCAATTCCACAAATCCATACGAAGAAGATGGTTCTTAGACATCACTAAAAATAAAACAAGTTATATATCAATTTCATCACTGTCAAGTGTCAAATGTCTACAACATGCTGTTCCATTTAGAGTATGGATCTGCGTCCATAAACTTCATCCACCATAAAAATTCATGTCCAGCAAACAGAAGCTACTCCTATTAGCTTTTGTGTGATGTGGATTGAACTCAATGTGATGGAGAATCAAACATGCGCTTAGAGTTTTATAGAATTGATTCAAATGAAGTTAATTTTGAACCGTGAACATGATTGAGATGTGTACCTAAATTAATCTGAAACAAGATTGTATTGGAATATGTGCTTTTAATTAGAAAGAACAAGAACTGATTCTCTAACTTTGAAACACTGAGAGGGCCAAGAATAGTGTCAATCATATCCCCTCATAGAGAGTAATTGTCCTATATGGTATGCGAGCAGATGCAAGTATACATAATCAATCAGGAAATAAAGTTGGATCTCATAATCATAATCCATGCCCACGTTATTTCAATACAAAAAATTGTTCAGCCATATAACGATACAACATGGTAGTGTGAGATTCAACAAATTTCAAAAGCGAAAATAAGTACAAAATAAACTAGGAAGTATAAGCCATTATTATGTTATGGTATTGCCAGTAGTAATGAAAGTACTTTCTTTCGATTCCTGCATCATAAGAACTAGTGGATTTTGCAATCCAAAACAACATTTTAGACCCAACTCAGCAGTGATTAAACAAATGGAAAATAGCAACTTCAAACCGGATAAGAAATTAGCACAGAACCTCTAAGACAATGTTTGGATCTGGAATTAGCGAGGAAAAATGAAAGGAAATGGGGGATTATGATATAATCCTTCATTTCCCAAAAACAGCCTTCACATCATGAGAGCAATGGTTTGTGACAATTATTAGCTTGTTAAGCGATGACATGAGAATAAAACATTCAATGACATAAGCATCCAAAAATGAATCATAAATGAATAGGCAGACTTACAAATGTGAAAAAGAAACCCTAATGGAAGGGAAGGCAATGGGGATTGGTGGAAGCAGTTGCACACAAAAATCATGTTAGAGAGAGAAAGATTAGATTTTTAAGAAAAAGAAGGAAAACCCGTCAACGTTTTTGGCCTAGAGTCACCTACGGACTTTCGATACAAGTGGCACACTTAACCACGCCGTGTCGCTCGCCCCTACGTCAATCATTTTTTCTTAAAAATAAATTAGTTAATAATTATAAACTTTTAAAAAATAATTCTTTTATATATATCACAAATGCAAAAGCTTACTACTAGTTTCAAGGATGAAAGAATCGATAGACATGTTACCTAATTTGGGCTTCACATAATTGGGTATATACTTTGGGTTATAATTTGGTGTTCAAATGGATTAAAAATAATAGGCTTATGATATATGCACTTTTTTTTTTTTTAGTACACCTTCTTTATTTTTAAAAAAAAATTATAAAATATTTGTATTTTTTTTATTTTTTTTATTTTTATACCTCAAACTTTTAATTTGTTATTTTTTTTCTTTTTCACACACTTATTTTTTTTTAGTTTTCACATGTACCATTTCGTCTTTTTCAATTTTTCACCTATTTTAATAGGTAGTTTTAATTTTCTCAATTTTTGCATTATTCTATTATTCTCTCACATCTTTTACTTTTTTATATGTACGCAGACCGTATAACTAATATGCGACAACATTGTAGGTAGGTATGTGTGACTTTTTCGACAGTTTCTATCGAATTAGACACATTTTTTTTTTTCAACACTTCCTCTCCTTTCACCTCTCCAAAAACCATAATATTAAGTTTAGTGTTATGAAAAAAAATACTTTTACTATTCTAGAGTACTGTGCGGGATAGTGAAATTAGTGTTCTAGAAAGATCTTCCTATTATGTTTTTTTACATACTTCCAGAAAGTTCTTTCCAAAACAATATGTAAAAAAAACACAATCAACATTGTCGAGAAAGCCATACACCTATAATATTATTGAAAACTAATTCTACGTTTTACATGTGTGAAAACTAAAAGCGGGGAGAAAGGAGATAATAGTAAGAAAACTAAAAGAGGAAGGAGAAGAGAGTAATGTAAAACTATAAGAATTAAATCTACTTAACAAAATAGGTGAGGTGAAGGAAAGGTAAGAGAGTGCATGTAAAAATTTAAAAAAAGGAGGGAAGATGTATAAAAAAAAGTACTAAATTAAATATTGTAGGTGTAAAATTAAAAAATTAATTTTTTTTTTATAAATTTAATTATCTTTTTTAAAAGTGAAGTGTACTTATAGAAAAAAGGGGGTGTATATATCATGAACCAAAATAATATGGGAACAGATACACGGAATCTGTAAACTGTAGCAACATGGAGAAGGAAGAAGGCCCAATCCCAGCCCAGGCCCCAAATACAGCATTTTCATGATGGACTGAGTTGGAATATAGGGAACTGGTTCATATGTGCAGTTATGACTTAAGAGTTACGAATTTCAACCTTAAAATTATTTAAATTAAATTTTAACAGATAAGTTTATCGTTTAACAAATTAAATTGAAGGTACAGATTCATGCAGTTTGTTAAACAACTGTAGACGATCTTGATCAGAAATATAGAATATATTGGAATAAACAATTAATTTGGTTTCTTAAGAATTGCTCTTTTTTTTTTTTTATAAAGAAATTTATAAAAGTATTTCTTAAAATTACTGAATATTCATTAGTTTAATCCACGAGTTAATATATTTCACTAACATTTATAAACTATTTTGAAAGATTTTTAATATTTGGAAGACTATGTTGTATGATTTCTAATATTTAAAAGGATTACTACGTGTGTAGTTTTATTACTTTATGAACCATTTAAGAGATAAAATAATTACTCAAATGTATTGTTACTAAAGAACATGGGTGTTTTTTTGCCTTTGAGTGTTATTATATTATTTATACAACATTTTTTTTATTTTTTTATATATTATATTAACATCTTATCACACTTGCTTTTCTTTTCTTATTTTTCTTTTTTATCATGAAAATATTTATATGAAAAATATATAAATATAATTTAGTAAAAGACAAAAAAAAAATTGTAACTTAGTCTCGAGGGTGATCATGAAAACTGAACCATACTTGAAATCATGAATTGGTTACAATAATTGGGTTAAGTGGGGTCAAAATTCACGTAACTTGATTATTATCATATAGAATATTTTTCATTTTTCGAATTCAATCAACTGACTCCATTTAAAATATCACATTTTTTCTTTATTATTTTTATTTTATTTGTACTAATGTTTGTAAATAGATATATAAATAAATGCAATAAAATATATAATATATACACATATATAGAAGAGATCAAATTCTCCTGTCAATTAACTTTTTTTTTATAAATTAAAAAACATAAATACATATCATATAAAGATTGATTCACACATAACTAAAGTGTGAAATTTTAAATTACCTATTAATTTCTTTAATAAATTGCATTAATCTATTCAATTAAGACAAGTAAATTCAATATATAAATACCATAAACTTGTTAGCAAAGTTTCTTATGTAAATAAATAAAATATTACATATCCAATCACATTTGGTTTAATATTAAGAGGTTGAGATAATATGCGTAAAATTTCAAGTTTAAATCCTATTGCTGTTATTATAATTTCTATATAGTAAAAAAAAATTATAATACATACCCATTCAGCACTTAACAAATTGGCCAAATTTTCAAACTCAAATGACACTCTTATTGTATAATTCCGTTTATAAACTTGAATGTCATCCCACCACAAGTTACATATATATATGGACACGAAGAGAAATGGTTCTAGTTTAGGTTCTAGATAATCCTCATTCTTTTTCTGAGTCATGATTCATAATTTGTTCTAGAATATGTTGTGTAAATTATATATTCTAGGCCACCTTTGCAAGAATGAAAATGTGTTGCATGATGTGATGGGAGCCATAGCTAATAATAACATGTCGGAAAAGTAGAGTGAGGTTTTAAAATTATACACGAGATGAACAAGCCACAAGAGAAAGTAGCCATTGGAAACCCTGAAGAGTTAAGGAAACAATTTGAGAAAGTAGCCATATTGTTTATATATATATATGGACCACCTGTGGGTTGTAGCAAATCTGAAGCAGCCTTAAGGACAATCTTTGAATATGAACTAAAATCCAAAGAAGTTGAATAAGAAGAAGGTTATGTCGTAGAACAAAATTGAGATGTGTAGTGGTAGAGCATAAACATATTTAGATGAATTTCATGGTAAGTATTTTTATCAGAGAAAAATAGGAAGGAAAAGTGAATAAGTTTGTCCATAAATTAAAATTAACTTATTACACAAACTGATTCATAAAAAATATCTCCTATTAATTTCTATAAAATTTTATTTTTAATTTATCTTAATTGAGATGTATAGTGGCAAATAGAGCATAAACATATTTAGGTAAACTTCATAAATATTTCTATGAGAAGAATAAGAAGAAAAAATGAAATAAATTTGTTGATAACTTAAAATTAGCTTATATAAATTAATTTATAAAAATTCTCTTCTAATTTTCTCTTAATTAGAAGTATTTCTAGAAAAAATTATCTAAATAAACCTTATAATAACAAAATTCTTATTTCACTATTGAAATTTACTATCTAAATTACCATACCTATTTAACCCAGTTGAATATAAATTTAGAAAGAGTTTTTAAAGCTTATCTAAAAAAATAATTTATTTTTAATAGAAAATTTTTCATAAACTCTTAAACTTATAAGTTCTCCTAAACTTATATCTAAATTATTTATAAAATTTAAATGATATTATTATTCATAAGATTCCTCATTTCCTCTTAACAACTTCTTATCATGTCCTTTTTGGGTTGATAGTGCATAAGATGAGAAATTAGCTAAGCTGTTATTACTTATTCCTATTTCAGCGATCAAAGTGGAAATGTTGGTTGATGTCTTGATGATTACTCTAATATGCTTCCATGGTTTTGTTGATGATACTTTTCATTTTTTCCATGGGGGTGCAGTTTTTCATAGATAGAATGTTTGAACCTAATGAGTTTTGGAGGACCGATAAAAAAAGTTTTTGAAGAGGGGCCTGACATGTCAACACACAAAAGAACTAAAGTAGTAAGATGAACAAGAATAAATAATTGAAGGATTCAAATCAAATTTTGAGAAAGCTAATCAAGTAATTGGCAAATCAGAGGATGTTGAGAGTCAAGAAAGGCATGTTGAATTTAAAGGTGATAAAGGACTGAATTAATTTTCACGACCCTTGGGGTCTACATAAGAATGTTAAAAGTGATTTTGGAAGAATTCCATGCAATAATAATTACAATGATTAAAACAAAATTAGACATGAACGAACCTACTTCACGGCAACATCATGCTCATCTAAGCAAAACTATGCCCTAAATTCAATGATTAATTTGTACTGAGAGAAGCTTCATTGCCTTGTTGGTTATGTAAGAGGAAGACAATAGGTCCACGAACTGTTGCCACGACAAAACTTTTTTAAGCAAACATTTAATAGAATTTAATATTTTACCACATCATATTGGTTAGTATGTTAGGGCAATTCAACAAATTTCTATTATTTGCCCACGTAAAAATGTTTTGTACTCCCAGTAAATATAAATTAAACTCATGTCAAATTCTAAAGGTTCTGCCACATTTTAAGACATCCTTAGCAGAAAACATGTGAAATTCCCGAGCATAGCTGTTGCAGAAAATCAGTGGCCAAAACAGAGACAGTACACAGCTTTTTATCAACGGTATGACAGTCACTCCTGCAAAATTGGTAATAAGAAACGCAAGATATCAGTCCTGCTATGCTAAACCAATTGATATCAATTTTCTATTTTCAGTGATAAAATTCATTTATTCTCATTTCTTCAACCAGTTCCATATATACACCCATGTAGTGTAGTTTTGTCCTAGGGTGTGACCATTTCAACCTCTAAATATTATCTCTTTGTTATGCTAAACTCATTAGCGTCATCTTATCTAATATAATGTTTGTTTTAATGTTGAATGACTCATTACAGTTTTATCTTAAAACAAGGCTTTGGTAAGTTAAGGAACGGAGTATATTTATAAATTACCCTTTATTTTGACTTTATAAAAAATTTGAAACTTTTT